TTATTTATATCAAATGGCAGGCATCTTGATGGTTATCATTAGCCCTTTAGTTGACTTAGGGCTTCACAGAGGCGAAGGAACATCAAAGTGAAAAAGTCGATATGGGGGGGGGCAGAAGAGTGTTTCAAAGATGTAAAAGAGACAGACGCAAAGGCGGAGAAAAGGTAAGATGAGTACTGTGAAAGTGATGGAATATGACATACAGTGGGGTCATGGTAGCTTGAAGTCAACTGCCGGTTAATAGACTTTTTTTCCGTTTCAATGTGTACGTTGCCCAGGGTGCACCACGTGGAGGTAAGTCTATAGCACACCTCTTAGTCCCAACATATTTGTTATTTAATGAATTAGAAAGAAGTGAAATGAAATATTAAATCTTTACCCTTTTCTTTTCCAAACACATATACTTTCCTATAGAATTAATTTCTTTGATATTATCCAGATCGATTTTGACTTATTAAAAATTACGCACAAATATATCCACCCATTATAGTTAAAACTTGGACAATTCTCTAATAGAGATCAAAAATTTGTCTTGCAAAAATCTGACTAGAAGACTGGGTCGACTTTCTATTATGTCAATTTTAAGAGCATCTTGGTACAACAGATTGGCTCATTATTGTAAATACTTTATATATTATTAAGTTCATTGTCAGCGGTTGAAAATGCAAATTCTATCGTTACTAAATCAGTGCTTAATCCTGAATAAAAATAATAATTTGACATGTCTGGAAATTTTGCTGACTCATAGTCAAAAGCCAATTTACCTAATGATTAGAACTAGGGAATAAAAGTTTACACATGATTAACTGCACACTGTTGCAATATAAAATTACTGGTCCAAGGACAAATTGAACTAAAAGCAGTGAAACTAATGTGTTGAACAGCCACGGCATATATGAACCCAATAGACACATGAGGGCACCTATATAAACAATTGGAATTGGAATTTCCTTCTAAGACACCAGGTGGGAGGTAGATGGGTGATCTTTGAAGGCGAAAATGCATACTCGCCCAGAGCGTTGCATATTACTCTTCCCTAAATCCAGTTCAAGTCAGTCTCTGTCCACATTTCAACTTCATAACGCGATCGTTAAAGCACTGAAGTCGTATCTTACATGAAGAGGTCCAGATGAGTGATAAATTTAAGGCACAATATTAGAAAATTCTGCCGATAATTACCTAGAATTGTTTACTAAATGTTGGTTAGGATATAGTTAAGCAATAAGACAAGCTGATTTCATCACTAAAGTTCCCATTAAAATGCGTACCACTGACATAACAACATAAATAATTTTAAGGAAGAAGGGCAAATACTGAAAATTAAATTTAACCAATGAGGATAAAAAGATGGAAAAACCGAGAGAAATTGTCTATTTTTGCACAGAGACTATTTCCTTTATGCAAACTCTTGCATATAGTCATGCTAGATAAAATCGGAGGAGTGAACTTACCCGAACAGGCTTGAGTCTAATTCCATACATCTCGACCTTTCTAGCTGTATCCAAAAGACTTGAATCGGCTTCAGTTGGTGTCTGACCACTAAAGTAAAAATCCATGCTAAATACACTACTGAATTTGATATTCTAAGTAGTGGATTCTCAAATAATTTTACATGAGACTACGATGACACTCCATAACTTTGTCCAAGAATTCTGGAGTTGCAGAGGGAACCAATCGCAGGCCAGCAAGGTAGGCATGATCTAAAAATGTGTCCTCAAGAAAGTCTCCAAGTTCGGCTGATTGAAAGAAATATAGAGAAAAAGAAAATATTGTTTTATAAAAAATGTATTATTTGAGCATTAGATAATTAAGTAAAACAGTCAATGGGGTTCAAACAAAATAATTTTTATTCAGCATTGATATTTACGCAATGTATGTCCTGTGAAGACCCAATTTATGCCAATTTGATTTTTTTTGTTCCTCTCATCACTACTGCTGCTTAAACTGTATGTTGATGAATATCATTCAAAATTATTTTTACTAGCCAGAGATTGGAAGGCAAAGTAACTGAAGAGGCAAAAGGGGACCTTTTGAGGAAAAGCCGGTCAATAAACACTGGGCATCGTAAGCCTCAATTTGCTGTAAGGCTGGCCAAAATTTATACATGTAGAATTTTGCTACATTTATAACATTTGCCTACTTTTATTCTTTTTAAAACTTTCTGTTAACATATTTCAGTTGATTACAAAATTATAAATTGGCCGTTTTTATATTGCTGTCTGAAACGATAAAAGCGTCGATGGAATTAATCAGTTTATCCACTTGATACAAGAGTATGTGTCAAGTGAAGTATTATAAGAGACAAATTATTAACTCAATAATGGTTGCTTATAGTGATAGAAGTCTTTTCATTTGGCTTGTGGGCAACTAATGAATCATCGTCTAATAGGTGGAAACTTCATTTTTCTTTCTAGTTTGTGAGATGTCAAGAGCAATAGTAAAGATATGTCAAGACCATCTCAAGACGAAGAGTCGAGTTTGAGCAAAAGAATATTAGGTATAGAACTATATGAAAGTTGGCTGCCTTCGTAGAGTCCGTGAAATAGAACGTCTTTCCATTGACATGATGGGGCCTGTAAAATTGAGCACCTATTTCTTCCTCTTTTGAAACTCTTACAAATTTAGCTTAGTTTTGATATGGGCAAGTACGCTGACCATAAAGTATATAAATAAGTAAAAATAAAATAAAAGGTATAGTTTAAAAGGCAGAAAAGCTGCTAAAGTCTATATTTAAAGAATTATTTGCTTTGATAAGTGGCAGCCGACGTGCATACCTGGCAAGTTAGATATCAAGAGTTCCAAAACCAGATACACACATACAGAGAATAGTTGTACGGATCTTGCGCACTAGTTAATACTGGTTGAAAAATAAATATCAACTCTACTTATGGAAAATTATAAAATTTCTTGAAGGCTGCGAGAAGGCTCATCTTAGGACGTAGGAGGAGTTTGCTCAGCAGATCCAACCAAGAAGTTAGAAAAAAATATAACTTTTTCAAGTTATCATATTGCGCAAAGAACATAAGAGAAATAACAAACATTAATTAAGATCAATGAATCAAGATGTCAAGGATGTTTTAAGTGTAAAAATACTCAACATAGTCTAATTTAGTCTTTCCGACTACGAAATCCTGAGGTGAACAAATTCGTGGGAGAAGGGTTAAAAAAACACACACCCCCCCCTGTATGGGAATGTCTAAGGGGAAAATAAATGTTTTTGCACTTTCATAAAACATTAGTCCACAATTATAATGAACAGAAACTCCAATTGCCCATTAACCGAGAACTGCAAGTCTTACAAAGAGGAATGAAGTTTGGTATAGTGAAATTTCTCCCTTAATTCTAAAATTCGATTTTCACCAAAGAATTCATTCAAATTCGAAGGTTATATACGATTTAGCATAGCGAATAACCGAACTCGTAGATATTCTTTGGACAGAACAGTTTGAAGTTCGGTTTTCATTGATCACATCATCCATTAAATTAATATATCAGCGTTTGCTTTCAGGGAAAGAAGCAAAATTGAACATACTACGGACGTTTTTAAATCTTCACGTAAGCAAATGTCTAATAAGAACCACAGCGGATAGGGTTGAATCCATGTAGGTAATAAAACGTCATTCAACAGGGAGCAACGAGTTTGTAAATAATCTTACCAAAAGGATAAAAGATTGTGCATTGATGACAAGGTTCTATCTTGAAATGCCGAGATCAAAGAGTAAAGTCAGAAATAAACAAATTGTTTACGTTTCAAACATTAAAACTTCCGAGTCTCTGATTAGAGTACTATTATTATCAAAATAAAATGAGTCATATCAGTAAAAATAATAAAATTAATAAAGATTACCTTGAACGATAAAAGCAGCAAGGAGAGCAGCCGTATTTTCACTGCATTGTAGCTGACCGCGATGGAGATCACGTTTGATTTGTAGAGAAACGAGATATCGAGTGTATTCATCCTCTAGGAGATTAGGATGCGGCGCATAGAATTTGACACAAAAAACAAATATGTATTCCTTTTCAGCATTGTGTTGTTTACAAAGGGGTTTGAGATGATCAAGCCAACACTAAAGAATAATTACATTTTTATAAATCGTCATACAGTATAACCATCCTTGTTTACATATTCGAGATCGAAATAATCCGCCTCCAGAATACCCAAACGATCTATTAAAGCTAGGTACAGATCCTGCCCAGAAGACCGCGACTAAAATGAAAAAGAAAATGCAAAATGTGAAAGAATTTTAACAACTAAACGTATCAATATCCCAAGAACTTACGGAAATCTGGAAATGCTGACGAGTAGAATCCAGCATTTCAACTTGAACTTGAAGTGATTTGCTAGATGGTTTCAAATTCGAATACAATGGGTTCGCTGTATTAGGCATAATTGATGCTTTCTATGTTTTAGTTAGGGAAAAATGAAAAAGAATTAAAAATACTCGAATTTATTAAGATGATTTTTGACGACGGAAGTTGAAATTCAATCAAAACTGCACATACCCATGCGATATTAAAGATTGATCAAAATCGACTTGATATAATTGAAGCCATATATGATCCCCTAAATCCAAAATTGTTCAGTATTAAAATGGGTTATTCAATGGAGAAATTATTAAATACTGTTCAAAATCCTTGAGATGAAAAGTGGGTAACATAAACAAAGTAGGTTTTTAAATTTCTTGACATATAAAACTTTTTTAACGATTACCATTAACTCATTGTATTTTTTAAAGTTGAGTCAACATAAATAAATCTATTTATATTGAAATATTTGGCTTGATTATGAGGTTTATTTGAGGTCTCTCATACTCTACAGGAATCTTCGTCAAAGCCATAACTTATGTTAATGAATACTTAATTCAAAGAAGAATAAATTAGCAGCTATTAAGTCAGCTAATAATTATTCTTTAAGAATAAATTATACTATCCGATAAACGTTTGAATACCAAAATGAAAGCATTAGAACGCATTTTTTTACAAATATGAAAGTTTCACATGAGTGCACAGAAAAAATATATAACCTCAAATTAATCTATTGTTATTTATTGAAAAAATAAGTATTTGAAGCATGAATATGAGTTTGCTCGATTTCCTCATTTTAATTTCTTTAGAGGATAATTTAGTCACTTGAATGCTAAAATATTGCCAAGTGCTACGCTAAATATTGTAGCTTTACTCGAAATATTAATAGATAAAGAAAATTCCTGTGAATTAATAAGATTTATGCGTCTACAACATTATTTTTTAGTGATATTAAAACAGTACAATGTTTATTTTTGCCAAAATGATGGCGATGAATGAGATCCAGCTATCTAGGAGATTTAGCCATCAAGGTAAATTGTATTACTTGAATGCAAACATCACCAAAGGAGTAACCCTTTCGGACTCGCAGCCTACAATAACTTCAATTTGAAACAGAAAACCACCCAAACAGCCGAGATACATGAACGTGAAAACGTGTGTCAGTTACTGAGAGGGAAAAAAACAAATTTGTGTTAATTATAATCTATAAACGATGGTTTACATATCCACACTTTTCGTTTTTTTTTCTTAGCAAATTGCTTTCCCTTAAGACATTGGCGTTTAATAATTGTAATTTGCATAATTTATATGGGAACCTACCAGTGAAACAGTTTTGTGCACCTAAGCATATAAAAGGAAATAGTAAAGTATGGAAGTGGATAAAAGCAGCTCTTTATTATTTATGAAAAAATTAATTGTTTATACAAAACATTGCTACGTTGGACGCCAGTTACGTATCTTCATCGATAAATCGGCGCGATGTTAAATATCTGCTCAACTACCTTTATTCAAAAGCCCACGCATATGTGCATCGTATGTAGATATTCTTGTAAAAATATTGATTAGTACCCTTTATGACTGATCGAGACAGCACATTTTGGTCAGTCATGGTGTTGTCTAGTATGAGTATATTACTTTATTTGCTTTATGAACTTTGAGGTCTGTTAGATAGTAAAGCATGTGAGTTAATTTGATGGAATTTGTCTATATACATAGCATAACACAAACAGTCACGTTTCCGGCTTAATAGTGACTCTTCAGGATGAAGAAATCGTGATTTCTGAGGTAATGATTCAGAATAGAAAATGTAAATATTACTAATATATATTATGCGCCTTGTTATGCTGCAAAGAAATCCCTTTAGTTTAAAGTCTAATTTTGAATCAGATTTTGGGGCTCTCAAGTATAAATGTGGAAAAAAATATTTTTTCATATAGCTAATTCTTTCGAATGTCTGCAAGTTGAATTTTTTTAATTTTCAAGAAGAATTTGCGCCTGAATCTAGCACATCCTAAATTGAGATGGAGAAATGTCAACTCGTATATAGTGGAACATATTTCCTTAACTGTAAGGAGTAAATTGTTATTATTCATTTCTTTCTACAATTCGATCATTTGGTTCCAAAAATAGTTTCATTAAATGGAGTTTTCCGTCTAACCGCACTGGGTTGATTTTCGGAAAACCTCTGCATTCGTGTTTATTGAACTGGGTTTCATAGATTGGGACAGACGATGGCAAACGTTTCCCCCGTTAGGTGAATAGCATCGGGTTTATGCATTAGATGCGAACTGACCGCAGGTCAAGTGACTCATTGAGTCTCGAGTTAAGCGGTACATCATAATAATTTCCATAAATACATTAAGGTAAAGTTAGGCGATTTACTTGGAGAAAGCTTTAAATGGATATTGATACTGTAGATTAACGGGAGGATTAATAAGCCAGTTCCCAATTCATCGAATCACATCTAGGGAATGTAATGTCGGTTTCTAGCGAATTTATTATGAACATTAATATGGATACGCTGGATTCATTTAATTTTAATAAAATTACACTTATGTGAATCCTGATCTTTGTCCTAATGTATCACAAAGTGGGAAAGAATGCACCTGCATCGAAGAGACTAGCACCTACTGAAAGTCGGCGTTAAACAGGAAATGGGAGGTACGGCTTTCAGAAGCCAATATCAAACATAATTGATATATATCGAAACTGTTTTTAATCAAACGAAGCTCAATGACAACTCCGGAATGGTTTTGTGTCATCTGAAATAATACAACAGTTACAATTTTCGTACCCCAAGTGGAATAAATAGAAAGAAGGCAAAAGAGCCGCTTTTCAGAGGCAAACGGTTGTTAAGTTAATAAAAATCTTACATTTTTCAAATAGAAATCCAAGAAAATTACTTTTTGACAGCTTTGTTCAATTCTAGGGTAGCATTCGCTAACATGATTTTGATTGATCAGACATCTTAGGTTAGATCTCAAATCAATGACTATTTATATTGACTCACTAGAATAACAAAAACCCATTTTGCCTGACAGTGTCTTTAGTAGGTTTAACTCTTCTCGAAGTAGAAGTGAGAGGATTGATAAAGGTTTTGAAGTGTTGCTCCAACAGTCTGCATTTGAATCTATTGTCATGTTGAATTTGGGTGTCGTTCCAATGATCATTTATCTTTATTTGATTCAGTTTCCAACCATGTAAATGGTAACATTTGCGTATGATACATAATTTCCTAAGTGACAAAATTCAGACTGGTTTGGTAAAAGATTATGTTCTGCAAGTTTATCTCCGTAACAGAACCTGAACAAAGCGAAATCAGCTTAAATTTTGGTTTATATTTAGTTAGCCAACTGAAAGAACGGCAATGTTTTCATAAAATTAAAATGAAACGAACAAGGATAATAGTTTAAGTTTAGGTTAAATAAAGAACAAAAGTTCTTATAAAACTCACTTCGAAATAAATATAAGGGGTGCATAAAAAGATTACCACATATTAATTCGTAACTGGAATGGTTAAATTAGGTATTTAGTGGTAAATTTGCAGTCGAATGTACAGCAGATAGATCATTAATTGATATTGCCGAATAGATGCATGGTAGTGATTCGTGATGGAGAGATGAAACGGCATTGCCTAAACGAACCATGAGATAAAATAACTCACCTCGTTAAGTAACTCTCATTGTATTAACGTTTCACTTTTACTAACCATTTGCACACCCGAATAAATAAATGATGCTCAACTCTATTTCAGTTCTGAAGTAATGTAAACAAAACTTCAAGCTTGCCTACTCAGCGTCTTTTAATACGAAAAGCATTTGTTAAAATATAGAAAATTACAAGTCTATAAGCGATAAATTTTCCAATTTATCAAATATTCTTTATTTCCTATATTATGTACGACTTTATTCATAACTCTGGTTTGTATTGTGCTGCTATAATGATAGTCTGTTACTGAATGAAATTACGATGTGACGTTTATTGTGAGTGAAAGAATAAAAACCAAGACAGTTTATTAAGTACCTTTACAAGCAGTGCAGAATGCAGAAGCTTTAATCGCTAAGAAAGACTTTTTCTCAAGGCTTGCCAGAAGATAACAAATGAGAATTTGGACTTTCACGGGATAATTGAAATCAATTCTCTGTAAAAATCTACGGAAATTTGAATACCCAAGTTCTCGCCAAGTTGACGGCAGATTGTGATATTCAGAAACCTGCTCTTCAAGTGCAAGCATAATTAAAAGTCAGATTAGAAGTGCAGAAACAGGTCGATTCCAAGTTCCTGAAAAACAGTCAAGCAAAACTCAAAACAAAAAATGTAACTTAAACTACACGTAAATGGCTATGGTGTTGTCGATTAAAAGATTTAATAATTAAGGCTCTGAAATGAATTTCAATTACAACCGCTGTACCAAAGAATTAGATACAGGGGCAATACTGTGACGTTTATTTTCGATGATGATTCTTTTTAAAACATGAAACGTTCATTGATTTGACATCATAATTTATTTATTCAGTTTGGGGTGTGCGATAGACTTACCTCTACGTGGTGCCCCCTGGGCAACGTATATTCATACGGCAAAGTCTATTAACCGGCAGTTGACTTCTGACTTCAAACTACCATCACCCCACTGTATGTCATATTCGACTACTTTCACATTACTCACCTCACCTCTTTTCTACCTTCGTCTTTGAAGCACTCTTCTGTTCCCCCCCCCCTCTCGACTTTTTTTTCCACTTTGATGTTCCTTCCCCTCTGTGAAGCCTGAAGTCAACTAAAAGGCTAATGATAACTATCAGAACGCCTGCCATTTGATATAAATAAATAAATTTATTCAGTTTTATTTGGTCCAGAACAAATTTTTCTTAAAAATTTGCTTCAATTCAGTTAAAATACCGGTCTTTTCTTTTTATGTTCCGAGTCTTTTCCTATTAGTTCAGTCAACAAATACGCGACTTACCAACTTTCTTTTATTCTGAATGCATACTTTAGACATTAATAGTACTGAATCTACATCAACCTTACTTTATTCATGTTCGTCAATGGGTGGATGTTGATGATCTTGGATATGTCAGCTTTCAGC